AGTTCACATAGATAGTGAATACATCCAAAATCTCAAAAACTCGAGAAACGTACAACTTGATATATTGGGTACCAGAACACAAAAGAATTTTTGGTAATGAAAGAGCAGACAATCTGGCCAGAGGAGGATCTTCAGGCCCAACTATAGATCCTGGACCTATACTGGGTTCAGGATGACAGAAATAAACAGAATTCTACATCTCATAATGGATAAAAAAAAGCAGAGTTGGACAAAGTCACACACAAGACACAGCAAGATTATGATAAAACAATTACTGTGTCAGGAACTTCTAGATCTGGTCTATTTCTCCTTCCTTTTGTGTAGACCTTGTAGATTGAAGACTCTTATGTTGGCTATTGTTATCCCAATTATAGATTCTGGGCCTATTCTCTTGCAGATACTCCTCTAGATTTGTTCATGTAACAATGTATTATTAAACATGTTTTGCCACGTTTTGTAGGTGTTGGATGTATTCACAAACTACTTTGAGTGTGACCTTGTTAAATGCTAATGTTTTTACAACTTCTTGGCTGTCTGTTCTTACGAGGAGTTTTTTTAGAAGTGTAACTTCTTTTAAGATTGTCTTAAAACACAGCAACCTAAGATTTCTTGGGCGCCAAGACACAAAGAATTTTTTGGTAATAAAAAAGGAGACAAACTGGCCAGAGGATCTGCAGGACCAACATTGGCCTTGAATCTATACTTGGAATGACAGAAACAAACACAGACCACCCCTCGATCCAGAATGGATCCCATAAAAGACAAATGGAAAGATCGACAAACTCTAAAGGTGCCATATCCAGCAACCTTAAGATAAAAAAACGTTCACCAAGACTGGCAAAATAAGAGTACCGATCACTGGCATCTGAGAAGACATCTACATAAAATGGATGCTTTAGCCTTTCCACTCCCAGGAGAAAGCACCTCAGCCTGCATAGGCCTTTGCACCAGCAGAGGACATGTGCTCAATAACTCCATTCTTCTTTTTCAAAAGGCCTTTCATTTTTATTGGTACAGTTCTTTTCCCTGGGTTTTCTTGGTTAAATAAACCTGTACATAACCTAGGGTTTACATAACCAAGAAAACCGAGGGCAAATAACTGTACCAATAATAATCAAAGGCCTTTCATAAAATAAAAATAGAGTTACAGAAGTGAACTAAGGAACTAGGAAAAGTACAAGCTACAAGGTATCTCCTTCCTAGTATTCTTTGATCATCGTCATCATCAGCAGGGAATTGGAAGAGATTAGACGAAGAAAAAATGGAATGGGTGCGTGAAATCATACACCTTGGTCAAAAAATTGCCTTTGAGAGACCTGGTCGTATAATTAAATTTTCAAGAGAAACGTTTCAATTGATATAAAAAGGAAAGTGCTTGATGCCATACCCTTACAGTTTACATCACAGAGAAATCAGAGAAGTTGCTAACAATCTCACAAAGAACAATGAAAGACGCATACTAGTGATAAGAGGATTTGAAAAATAAATAAATAAGAAGTTTGGGCTACAAAAGAAAAAACTAAATGCGGGGACGTCATCATGTCAGGAGGAGGAAAACTGGGCAAAAAGATTCGCTGAATGGAAGCCATATGACAAGACAAAAAGATGCAGGCCAATACCAAGAGGGCATATGAAATATCAAAATTTGCAAGTATATGCTTATGGTAAAGGCATTCATAGAAAAAAGAAAAAGAAAAGGAAAATAAAAATACGAGGAGAAGCCTGGATGGATGTAAACTGCTGTCTGTTACAAGAGGAAAGTCAAGAGATCAAATACAGCCAATATTATTTATCAGTTTGTAGACAAACGAATATACCAAAATTAAGTCTAGGGGGATTTATCATCAAATACTCCAGTCTCCCTGGACAAAAAACGTCTCTGTGTCCAATGCGCCAGTTAGTCGTCTTGTAGGTCCATTCTTTGAAATAACATGATATAAAACCAGCAGTCTCCTTAGTTTGTCTCATTTTTGTTTTTAATATACAGTAGATTCTTGTTATCCACGCTTTCACTCATCTGCGGTTGCCCCTTAGTTAAGTTCTAGAGGAGATCAACCACAAAAGAGGATGAAGAAGAGATACAATAGAAGAAAATCAGGAATGGACAATAATAAAAATTGGAGAAATCTTCGTTAGCTCAAACATTGAAGGACAAAATCACAGAATATGATCCAATAGCGAAATGAAGTGTCTCAAGCAATTCCTCCCCAACAAAATTTCCAGCAGTTGAAAAACCGGACAAAGCTCTCATAACTATGTTCTTGGAGAAAGCTGAAACTATAAAATGCTGATTTATTACCATCTACGTCTGTGTTATTTAATTTATTATTTTTATAAATTTTATATTTTTTAGATCCCTAATAATTTTTTCTCATTTATTTCAATGTCGTGCACAGGTGAATACGTGTGTTGATGTATTTATGTACATATTGTTTTCCTGCATGGAATAAACTTTATATTTGTTATCGCACATTGCATTTTTCTTATTGAGAGTACCTGAAATATGTGTACATAGATATATAGATAGAAATGCTTTATTTTACAATTTTGTACATGTCAATGAAACATATTTATAAAAGAATATACAACTTGGAATTAAATCCATCTGTTGTCAGAGATTTTATCATTAAATTCACTAATTTCGTGGTCCGCTTGACCAATTAATATATTACAATTAATTAAGGTTTTTAGTTGAGAGAAAAATGGCAAAAAGGAGGGAAAACTCATAAGGTGGGGTTGAGATGGGAAGTTGATGTCCGAGTGGATCGGGGTCACGATAGCTCAAGTGGTAGAGCAGCGGCGTATCTAGCCGAAGGTTGTGGGTTCGAATCCCGCTCGTGCCATTGACTTTTTTTCATCTCAACTAAAAACCTTAATTAATTGTCAAAATTTGAAATTAAAAGTAGAACTCTGGTTATACATGTATTAATTGTACAATATAACAATAATAAAAATAAATACATAGAAAAGTAACGAGTTTTATCTTCTAGATCATTAACTATTTTATATGACTGTACTATGTAATAAAGAAAATGTGTATAAGAAATTAAAAATTAAATTCCTGGACTAAATGTATCTATACTTCCAAGCATGGCGAGAATGCCTTGTGAGAGCCCGGGGATCCAAATCATTTAACAGCTCGATGATTTAGACTCTTGAGAGAGTGATGGAGCCAAGGTGTAATAGATGAATCTCTCCTAAAATCTAACACTCAGCTAAGAAGGGAAAAACTGTTTCAATTGACGGCAAATATGCGCTAATATGTTCTTACATCGTCGATAGGTAACGAGATACAGAAAGTGACTGATTAGTATGCAGAGAGAATAAATGCTTAAAAGCCTGAAATTCGAGGTGTTTCATATTGTCCAGGATAATGATTGGTACATAATGAAAGAGTAGTAAAGAAAGGAGGTAACCATTGAAGGATCGTCGGTGATGTTAAAAACCATGTCAAAAGAGATGTGGAAAAAGTGGGCACAGCAAGAAAGTTCTACAGATTCTACAGAAAGTTCTTATTATCACCAACATTACAAGACTCCTCTTTGCTCATGCCATGTGGTTCATATTTATACATGATTAACTGTAGAACATCGCCAAACTGTGCAATGTAGAAAAGAGCCTTGATCATATACGAGTGCGCTGCACTGAATATGGGGCCCAGCGAGACCAATTTCTGAGAGAAATGGAGGCCCTGGGGCAAGTAAAAAGGCCACTAAACTTGAGCTCGCTGCTGGCAGAGGGTGACATGAAAGTCTATGACGCCTTGTTCAAATACTTAAAAACTGTGACATTAGTGTTTAAGTTGTTTACTCGATTATTAGTCAATTTATTCACTAATTTCGTGGTCCGCTTGAACAATCAATATATTACAATTAATTAAGGTTTTTAGTTGAGAAAAAAGTCAATGGCACGAGCGGGATTCGAACCCACGATCTTCGGCTTGATACGCCGCTGCTCTACCACTTGATCTATCATGACCTCGATCCACTCGGACACCAACTTCCCATCTCAACCGCACCTTTTGAATTTTCCCTCCTTTTTGCCATTTTTTTTAATTTAATGATTAAAAATGAAGTATACTTCACTAAAGCTCACCGTGGCCATTTTATTTGTCGTTGAGAATCCTACCCGATTACACGACATTTGAAATATAGCAAAAAGGAGGAAAAATTCAAAAGGTGGGGTTGAGATGGGAAGTTGGTGTCCGAGTGGATCAAGGTCACGATAGCTCAAGTGGTAGAGCAGAGGCTTATCAAGCCGAAGATTATGGGTTCGAATCCCGCTCGTACCATTGACTTTTTTATCTCAACTAAAAACCTTAATTAATTGTAATTAGTCAATTTATTCATTTACTTAGTTAGATAGTTAGCCACTTAGTTTAGACACTGGCATTTCAATAGATCTGGCTGAATATCCCTGATAAAGCAAAAACCAATGACCAGGAGAAATAAAACATATTCTCATATTTGAGGTTTCAATATGTACAGACTACAAATTATTTATTTAAGAAAGAAAAATATAAGGCTGTGGCCATTTCCTGGATGGTACTGGTGGGTGAATTCCTGTCTTTAAGTCAATTGGTAGTTCTCACTGCATTGTATGAGATAATTCGATATCCTTGTATGCTCTACCTAACTTTTGTGTTTTTTAACGACCACTTTTTACAAACGAGAGGAAAATTGGATCCATTGTAGATAACAGCTTTCATTTGGAAGTCCCGGGTACCTTTATTTTTTAAATTTTATAAATAGACTTTATATTATTTGTTTTTCTAAACTTTTCAATTAGCAATGGCAATATTCGACATTGATACTTCATTGTGTTGATTCAGGAAAAGTACACAACGATGTAATTGAGTTAATGTATCAACCATAGAATTTATAATGACTGTTTGTTCGTCATTAGTCGACGAGTGGATGTTCAATCTTCAAACCAGGTGGCTATAAATTAGTGATCAACTTGTGAAATAGCGCACTACAAGAAACATTGTGAACGATGTTTTTATTTTTATTTTCAAAACAAAAGATGGTTACATTTTATGGCTGTAATTTATAACATTTTCATAACTGTAGTGTTTATAATGGATTAATTCCTTGAGTTTATAATAAAAAAAATTAATTAAATAAATAAATGGAAACTTGGAATGACTGCATTTAGATTTTTTTTTTAGACAATAGAAATTTTTTGTGTCATTTGTTAGGCCACTTTAGATATAGGTTGTTTTTACCAATAAAATCCATAAATTTAGCAAAGCAGGATTTTTTCGAAAAAAAAATTATTTAACATTTTATTTTATATAGACGTAATAAAATTTAAAAAAATATTTTTCAGAAAAAAAAATCCTTTGCGACTATGGCACAATGTTGCCAAAATTATGGATTTTATTGTAAAAAGACAACCTACATTCTTCTAAAAGTCCTAAAAATTTACACAATAAAAATAATCAATAAAAGAAACACAAAAAAAAGTAAAATTAATGCATAAACTACAAAACTTATTTAGAGTATTTATAAACTACTCAATTTTGAGAGATTAACAATCAAAAAAATAAGTTTAAAAAACACTTTCTTCCTTACATTTCGTACAAGAAGTACAAAACATGTTTTTACGGTCAAACTTTGATACCTTTAAGGTTATAAGATGTTTGGATATAAATCGTTCTGTGAAGAAAAAAATAATAATAGCAAATCACGGTTTAACCGCGCTCTTTACATAAAATGAACCTTTGACTATGCTGATTTAATTAAATAAATAAAAGTTTAATAAATGAAAAATTGGACTCTGATTAGAAAAATAATATTATTTTTAAATAGTATATACAAAAATAAAAAATAATTTCCCTTTCAAAACGGGAGCCTAAAATATCAGTGCAGAATATAAATTTCATAATAATTACAACTCTCACAAATGGTCAAGATGTAAATATAATAACCAAATGCGATATAAAAATTACAAAAACAAATATAAAAATAAACGTATTAGTATGCAATTAAAAATAAGTTAGAAAGAACGATAAACCTTATTAAACTTGGTGAAAATATTTACTTGAAAACTGAAAGCTCTTCGATTAGAGGGACAATTTATATAATTCAAATACTTTAGTCGTATTAAAGAAGAAAACAACTTATAAGTAAAGGAATAAATTAGTAATTTTATACTAGACTGAGAATATTTATAATTTACATTTCTCAAAAGGCCACCAAAAGCCTTGCCTTAACAAAAGACTAAGAAATAAAACATCAGGTATGGTTTAGATTAAACCTACTCTGATTAATCCTTTAATTAATTAGGCACAATACAAACTGTATAATTTAAAAAATCAATAGTATTTAGTTCTATACAGTATACTGGTAATTTAAACACACAAAAAAAGGTAAAAATACATAATTACATTATGTACAATAATTAATTACAAAATGACAAAACACATTATTAACTTTAATTTATAAAAGAATAAGTGTTTTTATCAAACCCATTGTAATGAACCTTAAACAAAACTGCTACTAGGCTGGTCCAGGTATACCGTTCTGCGCGTTCTCGCCCTTGGTTTAGGCTCATTCAAACATGTCCAAGATGTGGCGCCTGAAAGGTTTTTCGGCTTGGGTGGAAGAGGCGGAGGTGGGTCAGTCAATTGCGGCTGGTGATTTTGTAGATGGACGAGATCCTCTAAGGATGTCTCGGTGAAGTGATATTCGGCTGGAAATGTTTTATTGGTGTTTTCATTATCACAATTACCGTTTGATTCGTTCGGGAGGAGCTTGGCATTTGATTCTTCGCCATCACCACCTCTCAGTTTACACAATTTCTTTCCACCTTGAGGCGAATTTTCTTTGTCCTGCCAAAAGAATTCTTTTTAAAAATAAATCAACAGATATATTAATTTTTTTTAAATCACATCTAAACAATGTTTAACTAAAATTGATAAATTTTACTTCATATAAAATAATAAATATACAGTCGAACTTCCCATATTTTACAATGCGAGTCTACAAATCAATTCATTCACTAATTTCGTGGTCCGCTTGACCAATTAAATTATTACAATTAATGAAGGTTTTTAGTTGAGATGAAAAAAAGTTAATGGCACGAGCGGGATTCGAACCCACGATCTTCGGCTAGATACGCCACTGCTCTACCACTTGAGCTATCGTGACCTCGATTCACTCGGACATCAAGTTCCTATCTATCTCAACCCCACCTTATGAGTTTTCCCTCCTTTTTGCCATTTTTCAAGGAGGGAAAACTCATAAGGTGGGGTTGAGATAGGAAGTTGATGTCCGAGTGGATCGAGGTCACGATAGCTCAAGTGGTAGAGCAGCGGCGTATCTAGCCGAAGATCGTGGGTTCGAATCCCGCTCGTGCCATTAACTTTTTTTCATTTCAACTAAAAACCTTAATTCATTGCTACAAATCAATGGTGCACACTTAATCATAGGTTTAAAGACTAAAATTCATATAAGCCTTGGCCAATATGCCACTGTCTTTCAGGTTAAGAAGGGCTGAGTAATACCATCAAAAGAATTTATTTGGGCTAAGGCATGGATCATTGGTAGTGACGTCCAGAGCCATTTGGGATTGCATAAAGGTCCTATCAGACATTAGGGACAACAAATTACCCTTGTTTGGTGGTTACATAGGGCAGAAGAGCAAAGATGAGGCTGTTAAATTGATCAAGGAAATTTTGATGAAGACATCAATCGACCCTAAACCCTTTGCAACATATCAAACTGCTAAAAAATGAAGATCTGTAGATCCATCAGAGAAGGTTGGGTTAAGAAGTCCTTGGTTAAAATGTTAATCCAAAGGTCACTGCAGAAACCAATGGCGGAACTACTAAAACATCCTAGGTAGAACAAGAATGATAATAGGACTGCTAACTGTACCCTGCAGAGGCATATAGATAGAATCCAGAAAAAAGAAGAAACAGGAAAACATGTCCTCTGCTGGTGCAAAGGCCTACGCAAGCTGAGATACTTACTCCTGGGAGTGGAAAAGCTAAGGCCTGAAGGATGAGGAGTTCTTAAGCTTTGGGATCTGAAAAAAGGCCTTAAGCTTGACAAAGAGCTCAATAGAAAAATATTGGCCACAGTGATCAATGTCGTAAAGAGACTCCTTTTAACCTTAACCATATGTCTGATAATATACCCTGCCCACTTTTGTTCTCGCTTAGACTATGGTTCCTTATTTTATGACAGTGCAGCAAAATCCCACAGAAAAAAAGATACACACAATACAGAAGGTGGTAACTTGCAACCTCTCCTTTCGTTTTCACCATAGACATAAATTATTCAGAAATCGTGAGATGCGGTCTGGTGAGATTAGGTTTCAGAAAAACATTTTCTTTATCGTGCCAACGTTTCGATCTTTATTGAGATCATCTTCAGGGCTCAAAGTGTTTGTCTTCTGTCTAATTGTGCCATTCTTGCGTGTTGTGGTGAGAGTGCCAGTGAGATTTTGCTGTTTTATGTTTATATACGTTGGATTTTGAAGGGGTGGAGAAGGAAGTCGATATAGAAAAGACATTTTTGTATAAGGCGTCGGCTTCTTTGAGGTGAAAAGAACTGACGAAGGGAAACAATGTGTTGGTAATGGTTCGGCCAGATTATCCTTTCAGGATTATATAGAAAGGGATAAATAGGAAAAAGAAAGCTAAATTGTTAGGAAATTAGATTATGTGAAAAATATTTGATGTGTGGAATGTAATGTGATGATATAAATATGTTATCTGTTCTGTAATTGATGCTGTGTTTATCTCTGTTGATATAAACCATTTCTAAGAAATTACGTTTATGTTTGTTTTGTTCTGTATGTAATATTTTTGGATTGTTGAAGTCAAAATTGTGTTGGTGTTCAAAATGGTGGGTAGCGAGTGCTGTAGGATTTGGCTTAGGTTTTTTGCAATCATAGATATGTTGCTTTACTCTCTTGTCCAGATATTGAGATGTAAGACCGATGTAATTTGCCGGACAGTTTAAACAGTTGATCTTGTAGATTACGTCAGATTTATTTGTTATTGGTGTGGGATCTTTAATTTTGGAAAAAAGTGTTTGGATTGTTTTTGAAAGCTATTTTGAAGTTATCGGACGAGAGAAATGTGTTTAATTTATGGGATAGGCCTTGAATAAATGGCATGGAAATGTATGCTGGTTTGTTTTTGATAGACTTAATGTAGTATTATTAGTAATAGTGGATGGTGTTAGTGTTGAGTTGTAATTGTTGATTATTCTGTTAATTATGTGTTTAGAGTAGAGATTGTTATGGAGGATCTGTTTGTATATCTTTATGTTCTTGTGGTGAAATGATTTTTTCCAGTTTCCACATCCTAAATGTATTTATCAAATGTAAACAATGTTTGTAAATCCCAGGCCCTGAAGATGATCTCAATAAAGATTGAGATACGATCACGATAAAGAAAATGTTTTTCTGAAACCTAACACACCAGACCGCATCTCACGATTTCTGAATAATTATCGATTAGCAGTCACTAATCACCACACAGACATAAAATTGAACTGGCTGGAATTCCAAGTCCAACATAGACATCAGACTATTGTTTCCTGTTTTTATGCAACAAAGACTTAGCTCTTAGGAAAGTAATGTTAAATGCAGCAAATTACACTCTTAATTGTGACAAATCAAGAGGAAATGTACAGACAACTGGACTTATTTTACAAGCCAATACAAACATAGTGCCTGTGTCTGTTTATTAACGGCACTTTCCTGACTAAAGTCCGGTTATTAAAAGTGTCCACTTGGGAAAGTTCGAGTGTATTTTTACACTTAAAAAAATTATCAAAAGACAAAAATATATGCATAAATTGTTATATCAGTTACAGTGTTCTTTCACTATTATTAAGCACAGTAAATAAATGGCGTAGAAGAACCTTAGAGGTTCATGTCATGCTACAATTATACTAAATTACATGTTCTAACTACTCGTAAAAAGTACACCCACTTCCAACTTGCCAGCTTTTAAAGCCTTGTAAGGAACTTTAAAATATACCTTAAGCAACGACAAACATGTAATTCATAAGTGGTATTAAGCTATTTCATATCAGCCGGAAGTAAAACACAGTGTAGTAAAATAAATTAAGTGCTACACTAAATTCAACTTTTAAAAAATAAATAAAAAACGTGCTTCACTCGTGCATTGGATAGCGTAAACATTTACCTTAATTGTTTTAACCCCAGCCAATAAATATAATTCAGTTTTGTTTAAATGTAAACCTCTCTTCATTATTCTTTAAATTATATAACCGTAAATCTAAAGTTGTGTAGCTTTCTTGGTATTTACCTTCAAAAAATCGGGTAGCTCAAAATTTATTTCTGTCCCCCTCTGGTCTTCCAAACGAGACCTTTGGGCTCTTTTGAGCCCCTCATACAACACTAAAACATATCGAGTAAATACAATCCATGGTTTATTATGGAATATTAAAATAATAAATTCAATTTAATTACCATCACTTTCTGATCTGCATTCAACTTTACTACTTGGTTTCAGTTTTGCTATTAACGGTGGCAGCTTACTTAATGTACTTTTCCTTTCATTTTCTTCTCCTTTATGATGTCCTTTTTTTGGCTTCTGCATAACAAAATAAAAAATATTTGAGTTGTTCAATTTAACTAGCAAGAAAAATTACTTTTACAATACAATCAAGTCTTGTTACACTAACAATTTGTCTTTTGTTCTATTTTTTGTGTGATCATTTTCACCTCTACAATTTTACATTACCGATGAGTGCGCATGAGTAAGGTTAGGTGAGGTTAAAGCTAAGAATTGCAATTCACGTTGGAAAACTTACTGATTTTAATTCACTCTGACCATAAGCATTTGAGAGCTCGAAATCCAGATAACTGCTGTCCCGGGTCCAACCCAGAAATCAACATAAGAGAAGCAGGAGAAGGGAAAGAGCAAGCAGGACATGAGAGTGCTCAACGGACACCCGCCAAAGCCGCATGGTAAATTTCATTTATCCCCTAATATAAAGCTTGTCTTTCAAGGGAATGTCTTTAAAGGAATATATGTGTACTATATTCGCTTTTTCAATAAAAGTGTAGGAAAGTTTAATTTGTTTTTACTTTGTTCCTTTCCTTTTATTTTAAGACCCCTGTGCAAACTCTGCTTCTTAATTACAGGGGTACTTAAGTGTACTTTGAGGTCCGAGGTAATAAGGTGAAAAACGTTTGAGAGTAGAATCATAGTTTTCATCCACTGAATTGATGTACTCACTCTACATTTAACTATTCTTATAGGTTAGGATTAAAGATGCATTACATTAGGTTGGGTTAAGGGTTAAAGATGCATTACGTTAGGTTGGTTTAAAGATGTGTAATGTAAAATTGGGTAAGGGTTAAATGTGGGTTGTTACGTTAGGGTTAAAAATGTGTTATGTATGTTAGGTTAGGTTGGGTAAGGTTTAAAAAATTGGTTAGATTGTGGTTAAAGATGTATTATATTAGATTTGATTGGGTTAGAGATGAGTTACATTAGGTTGGGTTTAGGGTTATGTCAGGTTTTGTTGGGTTAAGGCTAGGAAGGATGGATTATGTTAGGTTAGGGTTAAAATGTGTTATGTATGTTAGGTTAGGTTGGTTAAGGTTTAAAAAATTGGTTAGATTGTGGTTAAAGATGTATTATGTTAGATTTGGTTGGGTTAAGAATAAAGATTAGTTAGATTAAGGATGGTTGGTTTAGGGTTAAAGATGAGTTACATTAGGTTGGGTTTAGGGTTGTCAGGTTTTGTTGGGTTAAGGCTAGGAAGGATGGATTATGTTAGGTTAGGGTTAAAATGTGTTATGTATGTCAGGTTAGGTTGGGTAAGGTTTAAAAAATTGGTAAGATTGTGGTTAAAGATGTATTATGTTAGATTTGGTTGGGTTAAGAATAAAGATTAGTTAGATTAAGGACGGTTGGTTTAGGGTAATGTAATGATGAGTTACATTAGGTTGGGTTTAGGGTTATGTCAGGTTTTGTTGGGTTAAGGCTAGGAAGGATGGATTATGTTAGGTTAGGGTTAAAATGTGTCAGGTTTGATAAGTTGGATTACGTATGGATTAGGTTAAGAATGATTAGGTTACATATTCATGATTCTATGTTTTTTCTAAAGCGTTTCATGAAGAAAATATGTGAGTCCGAAGTGCATATTTTCAAACATCAACCTAAGTCTTTAGTAAGTCGAGTTGTAGATAACATGAACTGGAACTGTCATGTACTGGGTCCGTCTACACTTGCAAGTTTCAATGTCATTGTGGAGAGACTATTGCAAATATCACCATTTCAAAACTTACCCGCTTATCAATAAATGCCGAATCTCTCCTTAGGAATCTTCCTAGAATCCCCGATGAGCTTTCAGAACCCCAATCTTCAGACTAAAACAAGTAAACATTTTAAGACAAGCCCAAAAAATTTAACAGCACCATTTTTACTTACTCTCACAGATCCCTGCTCAGATGGCACTACGTTCGCTTCGGCTTTTCCATTAAGCAATTCTTCAAAAACTCTATTGGTAATTTCATCGAGTGACTTCCCTTTGTTACAATCATCTAACCTCCAACCTAAACAACACATTTAACTACATTAAAAATAAATAAAGAAAGAAAACTGTATATTCCAACCAAATATCAGACTAACTAAAAATGAGCTTTATCACCTTACTCTTCCACAGCCGTATAGCAGCTTTTAAGAAATTTCAATGCATTATAACACAAAATTTTATAACTATGTAATACCATAACACATTACATGAATAAAATTAATCACAAAATACAATAATTTTGCCTAAATTAAAATACTACTAACATCCAATACATATATTATTATTTATCAGCTCATTTTAATAACACCCTGAGGTTTGTGTACATGAGAACATCTTACACAAATTACTCAGAAATACAAAATGAACAATTGTTGCCTTAACATTTCAAGGGTAGTAGGAGATTGATTCTGTGATAGAAGTTTTCTTTGAGATTGTCCTAAAAATACTTGAGCTACCATGACTTCGATAGTTCGATCCACTCGGACACCAACTCCCCATCTCAACCTACAACCTTTCAAATTTTCTCTCTTTTGCCATTTTTTGGTGTCGGAGAGGATCGAAGTCACGATAGCTCAAGTGGTAGAGCAGCAGTGTATTTATCCGAAGGCCATGGATTCAGATCCCGCTCGTGGCACTAGCTTTTTCATTTCAACCAAAACCTTACAAAAAATATTAATTAATTGAAATAAGTAATTTGGTCAATAGAACACTAAATATAATGAATAAATAAGACGTTTCATCCATCCTTAAATAATTCCTCCAATCAGCGGGTTCAAGGGAAAGATCTTTCATCAAATTGATGTGGGTCTTGCGGCTTCTGTTCAGGAGCCACTTCTTACACCATTTCCTTTTCGATTTTTTGCTTTTAATATATAAATAAACAGAAGCATAGCACCATTTTGAGAAGGTAATTCACTGGTTGACGTTCGGAGCGACTAGCTGTGGAGCGGTCGTGAATGCCCCCTCAAATTTCAGGCACTCCAAATGGAGCTATACGGCTTGGCGCGGTTCCATTTGGAGGAATTGTGAACCTTAAGTCCTTAAGTTTCATGTGGCCTGGTGTTATTAAGAAGAATCAGCCCCTTATAGTTTACCAATGCTGGACAAAGATGTTGCATTTTTCCGTACATTTTGTCAATTTCTTGGCAATATTTCTCTGCTGTGATAGTTTCACCACAATTCAGGAAATTATAGTAGAACAACCCCAGCAGTACACCACCAGTCACCATAACATTTTTTAGGTGCAGACTTGGTTTTGGAAAGTATTTTGGCGCTTCATCCAGTTCCATTTTGTCCAACTACTTGTATGCATCCTGTTATCGTATAGAATCCATTTCTGGATCGCATGTGATAATTTGATTGAAAAATGGATCAATTTGGTGGTATAAACAAATATCGAGATTTAGTGTTTTGATACTTTTGACAAAAGAGTATATTGTGCATAGAACAATTTCTAAATAAAATAGAGCAGCGAGACAAGTTATAATGAAATATCTGTTTGATTGATTACTTACTCCCAATTTGCGATAAGCACTCAGTAGGTGTGCTCCGTGTTAAAACCTGGATACGTTGACTATCTACATGCGTTACAGACAAACTAGGCTCAAGGACTTCGTTTTCACTCATCTAAAACATTTCAAATGACATTTTGTAATAAAAAGTTGATTTTAGTTTTTCAATAAATTACCTACCAGACACAAGGTGACCATTTCCAGTTTGTATCCGTATTTGTTCAAAATTGGCCTTAAAACCTGACTCAGAGTTTTACATTGTTTGGATTTGACGGCGACCGTTTTCCTGTTGGGCAAATCGAGCCTGAAAGAAACTCTCCTTTCAATTTTAACCTCTTGCCCACTTAGAACACTGGCGTCCTCGTCTAAAGGAACCGTCTGGAAAACGTTATTTGAAATTAGTAATTTTATAATTTGTGGTAAAGGCACGTTAAAAAAATAACTGAGTAGTCATGAAGTTGTGTCATTTACAAAAGAACTGGCTGCTAAGAATTTTAGCGAAAAAATAATTCCTCATTCCATCCATTCTTGAAATAGTTGAAATTAATAATTTTATAAAAATACTGATTATCAATAGGATTTTTTTTATCGAGGAATCCAAAACACTTCCAAAAAAAATATATATATATAATAGTTACAATGACTCTTTATGTTGAAATGGAAGTTCAATGAATTGCTTTTATGTCAAATAACAATTAGTTTTAAATTTAATTACAGTGATGAGCGATTACGAATGATGATAATGTTCATACAATGGGTTCAAATGAAATAGCAATGCTAAAATACATTCTAGGATGGAAAAAAAGAAGATAAATTTCCATTTACTTTGTTCAAATAACTATTAATGATGTGAAAATCGCTATAACAGAGTGCTCTTTTGTCTAATAGTCTGGTAATGAGATGTCGAACAGTGTGATTTGGACGGGTATGGACAACAGCTGTTGACCCATCAGGCAACACAACACGGCACAGTCCAGTCGATAACGGTACATCCCAAGTTGTTAATGATGAACGGCTGCTGCTTACAGAACTATTGTCTTGTTCATAACTGTTTCCTCGATCTCTTGACTTTGCTCTTGCCTTTCTCGTCCAAGGTAGCAACGATTTTCTTCTTCTATCGTCCGCATCACTTCTTGACTTCTTAAGCTGAGAATAAAACTAAGTTATTACATAATTCGTGTTACATGGAATAATACATACTTTTGGGTGCGATTGTGCTATAGAAAGTTGCAAATCGGAGTTTTCAGTGCTAACTGGCAGTTCTTCCCCCGCTAGAACTCTAACCACACATTCTTTGTACAAATCAGACTTAATAAACCTCGGGTAGCTGTCGAACTTCATTAAATTGAAAATCTGCTTTTGCGCCTGAAATCGTAATAAAACAATGTTGTAAAAAAACTATCGATGAATAACAAATTATGACAGAACAAACCTGAAGAAACAGATTAGGAGATGCATCACTCAGAAGTTCTTCAGTGACTTGCCTGGCATAAGAATCAACATTTACTGGCTCCAAGGCTCCCAACGCCAAGTGCCTATTAAATATTTCCTTGGCCTTTTGCTTTCTCTCTAAAGGATCCGCAAGTTTACGGTATTTTTCGCAAGCAACCCAAAAATAAATGTTTTCGTGGCTGAATTCCTTCTTCAAAAATTCCTGAAATGTTTAAACTTAAATTAAAGATCTATAAAAACAATGTATGAACACTTTTAAATAACAAGTGAATATACAACTTGTGACTGATTTTTTCAATCGAAAGTCATTTCAATTATGGATTTCACGGTTATAATTTTTTCCCCCCAATCCTATCCAGAAGACCAAAGATATGGAGAACTCAAGACACCTACTTGGATCCTAATCCGCAATGAGTACAATAAATACTAATTTGACAGATTTCGGCTTATTAGATGGAGAGGAGCTGTCAGCCAAGCATCCAACATACAAAGAATCTAATCTTTCAATCAAAAGTCCTCCACTGCATCCTCAACACTCCACATGTCACTAACTAAACTATCCGCAAAGACCTAGACATCCCATTCTTGATGGATATGATCCAAAATTTAATTCCACAACTTCCACTTCAAGCTCTTCTTTCACAGCAATCCACTAGCTCAAGCCCTCTCTTAAGTCAAGTCCCTCACTTACAATCCTCCATGCCGCCTAAAAAGAGAGTGGCCTCCTAACACAACCCTAAACCTCAGCCAATAATCCTAAACATTGAGAGCAAGCAGCAATGGCCGGCTCCTCCTCCGTCTCCGTGATCGGACAGATTCATCACATCTGTATATGTACAGAAAGCAATATTAAAAAAAATACTCATGCAATATATTAGTACATAGAGCTAATGTTGCATATGGTTGCATCGCCTAGTGGATCTAAGATATACTTCAGAATTCAACACAGACCCACAGCTTATGTCAGTAAAGAATAGGCAGACCAGGTCAACCGGAGATCATCAAACTACCTACACACAAATTGTGTAAAATGCAAAACATCTAGTCTATCACAGGAGCAAAGTGCACAACCATACCAAGGGAGCCCACTCTTAATTACCTTGACATTCTCCTACTATGTACTACATCTGCCAAAAACCTTATGGACATACTGGAGCTAAACAATTAAAAGAACAGGCTTATCTACTATCAGTGTTACAAGTCTTCCAAACAGAATTACATGTCCATGGAAAGTAAAACCTTAATGGCAGAAATGTGTGGTGATTGCTGACCGTTAATCGATAATTATTCACTCAACAAGTAAAACTCAACACTAACACCATCCACTATTACTAATAACACTACATTAAGTCTATCAAATACAAACAAACCAGCATACATTTCCATGCTATTTATTCAAGGCCTATCACATAAATTAAACACATTTCTCTCGTCCGATAACTTCAAAATAGCTTTCAAAAATTATAAAGCAATCCAAACACTTTTTTCCAAAATTAAAGATCCCACACCAATAACAAATAAATCTGACGTAATCTACAAGATCAACTGTTTAAACTGTCCGGCAACTTACATCGGTCTTACATCCCAATGTCTGGACAGGAGAGTAAAGCAACATATCTTTGACTGCAAAAAACCTAAGCAAAATCCGACAGCACTCGCTACCCACCATTTTGAACACCAACACAATTTCGACTTCAAAAATCCAAAAGTATTACACACAGAACAAAACAAACATAAACGTAATTTCTTAGAAATGGTTTATATCAACAGAGATAAACACAGCATCAATTACAGAACAGATACATGTAAACTCAGTCGCAGCTATGCCAATATCATTAATCAAATTCAATATAGATAACATACATATATCATTACATTACATTCCACACATCAAATATTTTTCACATAGTCTAATTGTCCAACAATTTAGCTTTCCTTTTCCTATTTATCCCTTTCTATATAATCCTGAAAGGATAATCTGGCCGAACCATTACCAACACATTGTTTCCCTTCGTTGGCTCTTTTAACCTCAAAGAAGCCGACGCCTTATACAAAAATGTCTTTTCTATATCGACATCCTTCCCCACCCCTTCAAAATCCGACGTATATAAACACAAAACAGCAAAATCTCACTGAAACTCTCGACACGACACGCAAGGATGGCACAATTCCACAGAAGACAAACACTTTGAGTGAGTAGAAATACTTTGTTTGAATATAAAATATATTTTGCATTGTATAAATTCACTTTTCCACATTCAAAATGTAATTGTTATATGTAAACAATGTTTGTAAATCCCAGGCCCTCATAAATACATAAATATATAAAATCTGATAGGCCCACTACCTTTGAATTGTAAACAAATTAACACAAAAACTAGTGAAGAAATGCACAACTTTCAATCCTTAACCAAAAATTTGTTACACCAGGGCTTACAGGAATAGATGGTAATGTAAACCCAAATAAGGAAAATAAACAAAATATTTAAAATAAAAAACTGACACACCTTGTCAATCTTTTTCAATAGCACCAGTCAGGTATAGTGAGTATGATAGAGTCAGGGTCGTAACATTATTAGCGGAATGAAAGTATGAGCCAGTACGAAGTTGCTGTAGAGTGTAAATCACTCTACAATAGGAAGGGTTCTTCAGCACTTCAGGGCTTCACACTAGAAAGCCAGGACAGGATCGACCTAGGTCTACGAATGAGAAACGATAGATTCCTTCGTCATCAGGTTCTATGAAACCGGAAAATGAGATAAGAAATCTGATAAGAATGAAATGTTTCGGATGTCTATTTCCTTCAGGACTGAAAGAAAAAGGCTCAATGAAAATAATCTCAGGGCCGGAACCCGGCTCGTGGACCTCACAGCTCAGAAAATGGCTAGGCTTCAATTCGAACAGGAACATTGGAAGATTGAGGACAAGTTCACTTCACAGAAGGTGAGAGTTGGTCCCAAATTTTCAGATGGGCATAATTTCATATGGAGACACTCAGGAAAAAATTACGCCCCATTGTTTCTCCAGTGACATTCCATTCATTGATATTCTGGAGTGGCATTTCCTTAGACTCACTGAATTGGTTGTTGTGCGAGGAAGATCTCTAATTGCACAGAGGTACTTTCAAGACGTAATCGAAGAACATGTAGTGGCAGGTTCCTGCTAATGCAGGAGAATGCCAAGCTTCAAAGATGACAACTACATGAATGAGGTTGGAATTGAGGCCTGCTCAATGTCCAGATTTAAATCAAATTGAACACATTTCGGACTTACTTAAGCAATGAGTGCGACAGTGAGACCCAGGTCCTAACACCCCAGTGTTCTGTTAGAAACAGCTAATCTTGATGAATGGGAAAGAATTCAAGATTTTATCAGAATTCTTTTACAAGGAATGCAAACGCATTTAACGGACATTACTCGTGCCAGAGGTAGAAATACCAAGTATTTAATGAAATTTTTTTTTTTTTTTTTTTTTTACTTTTTTAGAATTAGAAAATAAACTTTTATTTTAAATTCTTATTTTTACAACCAAACCTATTTTTGGTATGCCGAGTAATAAACCTAAATACATAAAAATTTAAGGGTGGTGTGTTTATTTTGTCCACTAGTACAGTTGACTAACTATCACAAGATACAATCTAAGATAGCTATAACTGAAACCTTAGACCAGTTACTGTACTGCTCTCTCTGTGATAATTTTTTTTTCTTCATAACATTACTTTAGGTTTTATCCATAAACCCAAGCTTGCCAGTGAAGATTGCAAAATGCTGACAAAAACGAGGACAGGCAGGCCAGCGTGATTAGAAATGGCCAAAGTACAGGAATAATTTTTAGTTTAATGGCCTCTTTTATATACTTGCATCAGTGCATAAAAAAATTTGACAATATATAAACAACAAAAATGTTATTTTTCTACAAAAACTTACTGCAAATGTATGCAATCCAGCAGGATCCTCCAAAAGTTTCTCGAATGATGTAGCCCAACATGACACTCCCTCATCTCTACCCCCATGCTGCAAAAGAAAAACAGAATTATATTTAAAAGAAATCATAAACTACTCAATAGATATGACGAAAATTTCATATATGCTTGAAACAATAAATTGTTCACATATTGTATTAACAATTTTATCTCTCGAAGTTGTACTATACAAAATAATATGTACAATTGACTTAATACTTATTAACATTCGAAAACAATTTCTTTGCCTAATTAAATTCAAGTAGACAGTGATTGGGGCAACAAACGTCCAAGGCAAATGTAAATATGAAAGCAAACATTACACACTGGATATTCTTGACCTATTCCAGGTATAACACAATTTATAGCACGACTTTATTGTCGTTACCATTTAATTTTACTACTTTATTTCTTCTAATAATAAGCTATATCTCCACAGGATGGTGCTAGGTCATAAAACAAACAAAACAATACTGTTTGGTAGGTTTGGTGTCTCTGTCGTTGTTTATCTATTGTCACTGGTTTGGTTTGTCACGTTTTGAATTCTTGACATATTCATGTAGTAGAAAAACAGATTAGAGAGGAAGTAACAACAGAAAATAATAATGTAGAAACCTCTAGAAAATAGTTTTGAATATGTTAGTTATAGCATATATATTGGAGCATACTTATGCTCCAATATAAAATGCTCACGAAAAGTCTAGAAGAATCTGCAGTGATAGTAATAAATTAGAGAAACTCAATTCATAAGTGTAACGTACAAGATCTGTTACAAAGGAAAAAAGGGGTTAAAATCCAAGAAAAATGGAATATTGTAATTATGAAAAGCTCTGAAAGTGAAGAAGACACAACGAGAAATGTTAGAAATGGATAAAGTAGATGTTTGATAAAGTAGATAAGTAAAGAAATCCTTCAGGATAGGAAAAAAGAAAGAAGATTAGGTAAATTGGGTACTAAAGACAGAACCGGAAATTATGAAAGAATAGTTGAAAAAAAACTTGTAATCAAATAGAATCAGGGATTATACAGGGTAATAAATGTTACAAGTATGGTCATACCATCTCTACGTGTGACAGGAAAGAAATGACTTGTGAAAAATATGAGACATAATAGTACAAAAATGAAAAAAAGAAGGGATGTCAGTTGCATAAAAAAAGAGAAGGGGGTGGACAAATATGGAATGATCCAGATATGTGAAGAAATCAATTCAAATTGGACAGGTAAACTTCGGAAGGGGAAGTTTAGCCTTGGAACTTGGCCTGGGCAAAGAAGATGGTGAAAAGCCAAAACACGACAAACCAAAATGATCAGAGACAATCAAACTGCAAATATCATCATCACACAGATCTCAGCTCAGGAGGACTTCTTACAATAATAGAGACTGTGACTTTAAATAAAAATTTAGAACTTGGTATTCATTCGATACACATCTGACAAGTATAATTGTGAAATGTATTTTGGACACGTACATGGCATTGAAATGAAAAATAAATTTTATTCTGGGACTTGGAAGTCCACTTGAATAATTAACAGTGAAAAAAGTATTTACTTAGAGATTCAAGACTGATAAGGTTGTAAAAAGAAGTCCATTTACAAAATATGTACATATAAAGTGAAAATGGGGGACTGCGGTAGCCGAGTGGTTAGCATGAGAGACTTTCACGCCGCGGTCATGGGTTCGATTCCCACCGTCGCCTCTGGCCCTTTTTTCACAATAGCCCCCCCCCCCAAATTTGAACACACATATACGAATTGTCACATGGCTAATATGCATAGTTCATAACGCAAAAAAAAAAAAAAAAACTTTTCTAAGGAACATAAATTGAAAAGGACAATTAAAAATCTTCAGTGCCAATTTGTAAGGAAAAGAAATAAGAGGCAGGAGTTAAACGTGTAAAGGGATGGAGCCCAGTGGAGAGAGTAAGGAGGATGATTCTATAGGTTGTAAGTACGGATGAGGAATGAACAAGGAAGTTTGATGGGAGTTTTTCAGAGCATTTGAAAATGTGGAAATTATGTATGGGGAAATGGGAAGATGTATGACAGAGAAGGAAGTATTGCCTGATGTAGGAAGGGTATAACCACTTCGTCGGGTAACAGAGCATGTGGTACCTCTTTAAGGAACTGACGGAACTGATGGAGGGTGAAGAGCAGTGGATATCTGGTATGTTACAATATTCTTACAGGACAATCTGAAAATGTAACAGTAAAAAGTGATGACAATACTATGGAAGAATACTGGCATTACAGAACTGATGGAAGAAATCTGGGAATATGGAGCAACCGGGACAAGATCTGATCAAGGACAATCCCAAATTTCTTTATATTGGGACAGTAAGCAATGGGTAATAGTTAATTGTTACCATCCTCCGAAGGCCAATTCTTACTGGTACACTGTTGGCTCAAAATGGGATAGAGGAGCTGGAGTCCTCGGGATGATACAAAAACCAAACTGACTTTGCACGTAGCTAAATAAAGATAAAGATTTCCAGTCTGAAATCATAGCAATTGAACACTGCACCAGAGAAATGAAAAGGCTAGAAACACATTCCACAAAGTTAGCCATTTTATCTGACAGTCAGGTGGCATTTAAGGCCTTAGCCTCATGCGAAGTAAAGGAAAATGCATATAGAATTGTATGGAATCCATGGCAGAAGTAAGTGACACAATGACCTGACCCTGGCATGGGTCCTGTGCATTCGGGACAGAGAGGCAATGAGGAAAATGGACAAGTTAGCCATAAAAGGAACCAATATGAATTCTCTAGACCCCGAATCCTACTGTGGCCTAGCACCTTGCCACAAAAAAGGACACAACAAAAAATGGATCCTTAATGAGTCCAAAACGTGGTGGAGCAACACCCCTGGCAGAGTCACAAGATGACATTTATAGAAGTGCCATCATAATTGCAACAGAACCAGAGTTCTCTTAACAGGGCATTGCCGCTTAAGAAGGACATGGAATGGATAGGAGTACTGACAGAAGAAATACTTTGCAGACACTACCAGGAAGAAGAGGTACTATCACTAATTATAAACATAGGGATTGGAGGTAAGGAATGAAGGATCCAAAGACTGGGATTTTTCCATGTCCGTTTTCAGTCAAAATCTAGCCTCAATTGAGGGCCACAGGCATGATCTCATACTGTAGCATAATCAACCAAGTTGATGAGTAGGTCTGCAAATCAATGAACACATTTTCACATGCTATTAATTAGTCATTTGATATAAAACTAAACATTTTGGTTGTGTAAAAGAGCAAGAACTTTTCCTCACTGAAGATGGCACAAAGCCGAAACGCAATTGGTAACATCAAAAACCTGCGATTGTAGACGACGCAAGTAACCCAGTGCCGATACAACATTATCAATCCATAGTGTGTAACACTTAAAAATTAAATGGGTTCTGTTTAAATATACATTTATCGCTAAAACCGTCCATGCTTATTTGATTTAAAAAAAGGAAAGTCTAAATTTGATTAAAATTTTAGGCAAACAAATAAAAAACTTATCCAAACAGTCTAGGAGGAAAAATTGGAAGTTGATTTCCGGGCTTTTTTGATCTCGGGACAATTTGATAGATTTTTTTAATGAATCAGAAGTCCATGTTTTTGAAAGGCCGATCTATAAGATAGACATTGGAAGCAGCCCTTATGTCAATCTCTGTCTACTTAAAAGGCCGGTTCTAATAAACATTTTATGTTAATAATACTAATAATATTGTGTACAAATGTTTTTTTTTTTTTTTCAAAAACACCGGGGCTTATATGACCTCTGCCCTCTGCTGTTGCGAGTCCTCGTAAGTTAGTGTTCCAAAGTTCCTTGGTGCAAGTTCGTTTCCCCGAAAGTTGTTTTGATGTAAGTTATCGGCCTAAGACGGCTCGCCAGGAAGGCAAGTAGGCCTGAACTAAGTTGGGTTTTTCAGCTCGTATTGAGCTGTTTTTGAGCTTTCCTGTTGACTCAAAATCGCTTACACCGTTAAAGAAGTAGAAAGAGCAAAACTTAAAACTAAAATATAATTAAGAACAATAATAAACTAGGTAAGCTTCGTGTAATTTATCTAACCCAGAAAATCGTTGACAAACGAGGGTGGCTCTATGTTGAAAGTTAAATCGAATTTGATTAATTTATTACAAAAAAGGACACTTCTTCAAATAATATTAAGCAATTATTAATGCTTGACTGGATTTCTCAAATTTAAAATAGTACATATAAAAAAAATAATAAACTTACAAAACTAATTCTGCATCGTTGTATAAAAAATGTCCTGTTATACATCATCGTCATAGATGTTTCAACACCACTTTGCCAATCATTTGAAAATGGTATCCGGTTCAAAACAAATACGAGATTTGTATAAAAAGCGTGCTAACCGGGCGAAAATCGTATGGGATTACGAATAGAAGCCGGAAAGGCAACAAAGGAGGGGTAAAGGAATCCAATTAAGAGTGTCAACTTGGTGCAGATTTATATCAGGATGATAAATTGCAAAAATTAAAATGTACAATGAGTTCAAAGATGTCGGATCGGAAAATTGTCCGTATTTGAAAAAAATCAATTTTTGATCATCCGTAAAAACATACTTGCGGCTTAATCAAGAGATTTTTTATATTTTTTACGAAAGGTTTTCAAATAAGTCCGTGGAAAATGATCATTCCGAAAGCGTTAACATATGCATATAATTTACCCTGATTTATTTATGAAACGCAACGGCATTTTACTAACTAGTTTGTTTTGGTCCAAGTTCCGTCCTACATGTTTTCTTATCCTTATGTTTTGTTTATATGTAACCCTAAACTCTGAGACATTTGTTTGTAGCGGTTTTGTTTATTTTTTCCGATCAACTTGGTCTGTTTTGGACCATCAGGCGCGTTTCGGCTACTCGCCCTCTTCATTGCTGGTAGAATTAGTTCATTTTATCGGGTTGTCCGGAAAATAATGCAGGATTTTAAGTTTTCATTAAAAAAAATCTATATAAAATATTCTGTTTACGTTTACAGGATTACTCATTTGTATGAATGTCAACACTTATTAATCCTCTTCCAAATGATATT